GTGTGTTGTGGGTGTTGACAGGGTGTCAGTATTCGCGGTGTGTCTGTGCGCACACATTTGAGTGATTCTTCATATAATTGAGTCTCTTAGCTGATCTATGTTATTCTGTGTATATGTGTGTATGTTTGCTATTCCTTAGATTCTTGACATCTATGTGTACGTGTGTGTTGTATTAGGAATGTGTAAGCATTGTGTGCGCACGAGTAACGGTTAGTGGACTCGTGTTTGTTACCTTAGTGTGTGAAATAAAGCACTCTATGTCTATACTCTTGCTTAGCACGCATTCTCTAGCTACAATATTCCTGGATTAAATCTCTGATGTCTGTTGTTTGAACTGCGATTATGTCGGGAATTGGACTTGATATTCTTCACAATTGGGTGTGCTTGAGATAATCCTGATATGCAATATAACGTGCTACCCTTTACACCTTGGTTTGTCTGTGACTATCCAAACAAACGTTAGAGACTTTATATCCGCCACACCTTGGTTTGTCTATGTTTATCCTTACACGTGTTTAGACTTTCTGTCCATCACACATTGGTTTGTCCTAGACTGTTCTAAAATATGTTAAGACGTTCTAACAGCCACATATTGGTTTGTCAAGGATTATACTGATTAGACTGCGCTCCTCAAACCTTGGATTATCTGAGATTATTCTGCCATTCAATAATGTTTGCTGCTATTTACACTTTGGTTAATCTAATATTATCTTAAAACACATTAACTGATTCAGTAAGTATGATAGACTAGATTAAAAATGTATTGAGAAATAATTACTAGCATTATGACCAAATTAAAACATGCAAAATACAAAATACAGCCTCGTAACAAGCAATCGTATGTGCTATATACAAGTGTAGAGCCATTACTTTACTTGCAGCTTGAGCCTGAGACGACTACGCCACTAAACTGTGACAACATTCCGTGCCCTCTCATCTTCAAGCCTGTGTGTGGCTCAGACGGGGAGACCTATAGCAACGCGTGCGTTCTTGGGGCGGAGAACTGTAGAAGAGGTCCTGCTGACAAAATCTTCATCGAGCATGAGGGCTTTTGTCCCCCGGGTCAGCAGGAGACGACGACAACAGTTCGTACTTTTAGCACTTGACTCTTGACTATAATGTTGCAAGGCGTTTTAGCTAAGCTGTAATGCTTGTTGTTTCAATGTCTACGTTTTGAGTCATTATAACTGTTGAATTAGTTACTGTTCGTTTGTATGTGTTGGGTAATGGCTTGTGTTTGTTTGCGACTTAGTAGGTGTGCGTTTGTGAATGTTTTGTGTATATACAACTGCTAGCTATGTGTTGTGGATGTTGATAGGGTGGGAGTCATCGCGGTATGTCGGCGCGCACCCCTTTAAGGGATTCTTCAAATAATTGAGTTTTTTTTTAAAACTTACCTATGTTTTTCTGTGAATCTATTTATGGGTGTGTTAGCTAGTGATCAGATACTTAACATCTGTGTGTACATGTGTGTTGTATTTTAATGTATATGTATTTAGTGGACCAGATTAGTGGTTACTGAACTTGTGTTTGTAGCATTAGTCTGTAAAATATTGCATTGCAGGCACTTACTCTTGCTTAGCATGCAGTCCCTAGCTACAGTATTTCTTGTCTAAATCTCTGCTCTCCATTGATTGGTCTGTGAATATGTGTAGGGATTTTGACTTGCTACGCTTTACAAATGGGTTTGTCTGAGATTATCTTGATATCCAGCAAGGCATGCTATCCGTCAAACCTGGCTTTGTCTGTGTTTATCCTGACACGCGTTATGATTTCTGTAATTCACAAATGGGTTTTCAAGGGTTACCCTGATATATTCGACGAGTTTCTTACCATCAAATCTTGGTTTCTCTGGAACTGTCCTTACATCCGTTAAGTCTTTTCGACCGTCAGCCTGTGGATTGTCTGAGATTATCCTGTCTTTTAATATTGTTTGCTACAAGTCACACATAGGTTTGTCTGATACTATCCTGATACACGCTGGTTGTCTTTAATATCGACGATGGACTGGATTAAAAATGTATTCAAAATGACTGCTTGCGTTATGGCCAAATTAAAACATGCAAAAAAAAAATATTTAAAAAACAAATAGAGACTTGTAACAAGCAATGGTATGTGCTATATACAAGTGTGGAGCCATTACTTTACTTGCAGCTAGAGCCTGAGACGACTACGCTCCTAAACTGTGACAACATTCCGTGCCCTCTCATCTTCAAGCCAGTATGTGGCTCGGACGGGGAGAACTATAGCAACGCGTGCGTTCTTGGGGCGGAGAACTGTAGAAGAGGTCCTGATGACAAAATCTTCATCGAGCATGAGGGCTTTTGTTCCCCTGGTCAGCCGGAGACGACGACAACAGTTCGTAGTTTTAGTACTCGACTCTTTACTATAATGTTGCAAGACGTTTTAGCTAAGATTTATTGCTTTTTTTTTTAATGTTTACGTATTAAGTTATTATAACTATGTTGTATTCGTTACTGATTGTTTGTGTTGGTTGTGCAACTGCTTGTGCTATTTTGTGACATTGTAATTGTGCGTTTATCGATGTGGTAGTGTATATACAACTGCAAGTTGTGTGTTGTGGGTGTTGACAGGGTGTCAGTATTCGCGGTGTGTCTGTGCGCACACATTTGAGTGATTCTTCATATAACTAAGTCTCTTAGCTGATCTATGTTATTCTGTGTATATGTGTGTATGTTTGCTATTCCTTAGATTCTTGACATCTATGTGTACGTGTGTGTTGTATTAGGAATGTGTAAGCATTGTGTGCGCGCGAGTAACGGTTAGTGGACTCGTGTTTGTTACCTAAGTGTGTGAAATAATGCACTCTATGTCTATACTCTTGCTTAGCACGCATTCTCTAGCTACAATATTCCTGGATTAAATCTCTGATGTCTGTTGTAAGAACTGCGATTATGTCGGGAATTGGACTTGATATTCTTCACAATTGTGTGTGCTTGAGATAATCCTGATATGCAATATAACGTGCTACCCGTTACACCTTGGTTTGTCTGTGACTATCCAAACAAACGTTAGAGACTTTATGTCATCCACACCTTGGTTTGTCTATGTTTATCCTTACACGTGTTTAGACTTTCTGTCCATCACACATTGGTTTGTCCTAGACTGTTCTAAAATATGTTAAGACGTTCTAACAGCCACATATTGGTTTGTCAAGGATTATACTGATTAGACTGCGCTCCTCAAACCTTGGATTATCTGAGATTATTCTGCCATTCAATAATGTTTGCTGCTATTTACACTTTGGTTAATCTAATATTATCTTAAAACACATTAACTGATTCAGTAAGTACGATAGACTAGATTAAAAATGTATTGAGAAATAATTACTAGCATTATGACCAAATTAAAACATGCAAAATACAAAATACAGCCTCGTAACAAGCAATCGTATGTGCTATATACAAGTGTAGAGCCATTACTTTACTTGCAGCTTGAGCCTGAGACGACTACGCCACTAAACTGTGACAACATTCCGTGCCCTCTCATCTTCAAGCCTGTGTGTGGCTCAGACGGGGAGACCTATAGCAACGCGTGCGTTCTTGGGGCGGAGAACTGTAGAAGAGGTCCTGCTGACAAAATCTTCATCGAGCATGAGGGCTTTTGTCCCCCGGGTCAGCAGGAGACGACGACAACAGTTCGTACTTCTAGCACTTGACTCTTGACTATAATGTTGCAAGGCGTTTTAGCTAAGCTGTAATGCTTGTTGTTTCAATGTCTACGTTTTGAGTCATTATAACTGTTGAATTAGTTACTGTTCGTTTGTATGTGTTGGGTAATGGCTTGTGTTTGTTTGCGACTTAGTAGGTGTGCGTTTGTGAATGTTTTGTGTATATACAACTGCTAGCTATTTGTTGTGGATGTTGATAGGGTGGGAGTCATCGCGGTATGTCGGCGCGCACCCCTTTAAGGGATTCTTCAAATAATTGAGTTTTTTTTAAAAACTTACCTATGTTTTTCTGTGAATCTATTTATGGGTGTGTTAGCTAGTCTTCAGATACTTAACATCTGTGTGTACATGTGTGTTGTATTTTAATGTATATGTATTTAGTGGACCAGATTAGTGGTTACTGAACTTGTGTTTGTAGCATTAGTCTGTAAAATATTGCATTGCAGGCACTTACTCTTGCTTAGCATGCAGTCCCTAGCTACAGTATTTCTTGTCTAAATCTCTGCTCTCCATTGATTGGTCTGTGAATATGTGTAGGGATTTTGACTTGCTACGCTTTACAAATGGGTTTGTCTGAGATTATCTTGATATCCAGCAAGGCATGCTATCCGTCAAACCTGGCTTTGTCTGTGTTTATCCTGACACGCGTTATGATTTCTGTAATTCACAAATAGGGTTTTCAAGGGTTACCCTGATATATTCGACGAGTTTCTTACCATAAAATCTTGGTTTCTCTGGAACTGTCCTTACATCCGTTAAGTCTTTCCGACCGTCAGCCTCTGGATTGTCTGAGATTATCCTGTCTTTTAATATTGTTTGCTACAAGTCACACATATGTTTGTCTGATACTATCCTGATACACGCTGGTTGTCTTAATATCGACGATGGACTGGATTAAAGATGTATTCAAAATGACTGCTTGCGTTATGGCCAAATTAAAACATGCCAAAAGAAAAATATTTAAAAAACAAATAGAGCCTTGTAACAAGCAATGGTATGTGCTATATACAAGTGTGGAGCCATTACTTTACTTGCAGCTAGAGCCTGAGACGACTACGCTCATAAACTGTGACAACATTCCGTGCCCTCTCATCTTCAAGCCAGTATGTGGCTCGGACGGGGAGAACTATAGCAACGCGTGCGTTCTTGGGGCGGAGAACTGTAGAAGAGGTCCTGATGACAAAATCTTCATCGAGCATGAGGGCTTTTGTTCCCCTGGTCAGCCGGAGACGACGACAACAGTTCGTAGTTTTAGTACTTGACTCTTTACTATAATGTTGCAAGACGTTTTAGCTAAGATTTATTGCTTTTTTTTTAATGTTTACATATTAAGTTATTATAACTATGTTGTATTCGTTACTGTTCGTTTGTGTTGGTTGTGCAACTGCTTGTGCTATTTTGTGACATTGTAATTGTGCGTTTATCGATGTGGTAGTGTATATACAACTGCAAGTTGTGTGTTGTGGGTGTTGACAGGGTGTCAGTATTCGCGGTGTGTCTGTGCGCACACATTTGAGTGATTCTTCATATAACTGAGTTTCTTAGCTTACCTGTGTTATTCTGTGTATATGTGTGTATGTTTGCTATTCCTTAGATTCTTGACATCTATGTGTACGTGTGTGTTGTATTAGGAATGTGTAAGCATTGTGTGCGCACGAGTAACGGTTAGTGGACTCGTGTTTGTTACCTAAGTGTGTGAAATTATGCACTCTATGTCTATACTCTTGCTTAGCACGCATTCTCTAGCTACAATATTCCTGGATTAAATCTCTGACGTCTGTTGTAAGAACTACGATTATGTCGGGAATTGGACTTGATATTCTTCACAATTGTGTGTGCTTGAGATAATCCTGATATGCAATATAACGTTACACCTTGGTTCGTCTGTGACTATCCAAACAAACGTTAGAGACTTTATGTCCGCCACACCTTGGTTTATCTATGTTTATCCTTACACGTGTTTAGACTTTCTGTCCATCACACATTGGTTTGTCCTAGATTGTTCTAACATACGTTAAGACTTTCTCACTGCCGCATCTTGGTTTGTCAAGGATTATCCTAATATCCGTTAAGACTGCACTTTTCAAACGTTGGATTGTCTGAGATTATTCTGCTATTCAATAATGTTTGCTGCTAGTCACACGCTGGTTAATCTAATAATATCCTAAGACACATTAAACGATTCAGTCGGAACGATGGACTAGAGTAAATATATATTGAGAAATGATCGCTAGCTTTGTGACCAAATTAAAACATGCAAAATACCAAATACAGCCTTGAAACAAGCAATGGTATGTGCTATATACAAGTGTAGAGCAATAGCTCTTTACTTGCAGCTAGAGCCCTAGACGACTACGCCACTAAACTGTGACAACATTCCGTGCCCTCTCATCTTCAAGCCAGTGTGTGGCTCAGACGGGGAGACCTATAGCAACGCGTGCGTTCTTGGGTCGGAGAACTGTAGAAGAGGTCGTGATGACAAAATCTGCATCGAGCATAAGGGCTTTTGTTCCCCGAGTCAGCCGGAGACCACAACCACGGATCGAATTTTAAAAAAAATTGTACTTTCCACTATTGATGATGTGTTTTGTATAAGATGACCTCTGTGTGCGCCATCGGTTGGCAACTGGGTCTTTGTATTGTGTTCTGCTCTCTGACAGTACCTACCTACAGCAAAAGTCTTCAACTTCCTTTTTGCCCTCTGGCTGCTGACTAATGTTTGATTACTACTGTGTGCCCTCATTTGTTACCCAAGAATATGCCCTTTTCCTTGTTTCTATTTGTTCTTTCAGCACCCACCTACATCCACCCAACATTTTCCGGTGTTTTTATCGAACGACGGATGACACATTTATGGGTTGGCTGCTTGATGTCAAACACTCAAATTACTCAGACATCACAGCCTTTTTGATGACCATAATGTTGGATTACCCGTATACCATACTAGTTGTCTGCTGACTGTTTTTAGTTTTTTTTTTTTTTTTTTTTTTTTAAGTATCCAGAAGCCATGAGTTGTTAACCCTTAGGCTCGGTATTATGGATATCGCAACCCTTTGGCATTGATTCCATGATAAATACCGTAAATCTGGGAGAAATGTGTTTTTTCTGCCTACCCCCAGTCATGAACCCGGACCACAAGGAGTTCGTCACCCTGTCACCGCGCAGTCCTGTTTAGCCAACTACGCTAGAGAGCCGGGCTGCTGGCTGTTTAAACTGACACATCGACCAGTACTGAGAACAATCAGTTATCAGTGACTTTATTCCCTCTTTTGTTTGCAGGGGCTGCATGAGACTACTACGCCCTTAAACTGTGACTATATTCCTTGTCCACTCCTCTTCAGTCCAGTCTGTGGTTCAGACGGCGTGATCTACAGCAACGCCTGCGTACTTGGAGTGCAAAACTGCAGCAGAGGTCCTTATGACAAGATCACCATCGACGACTGGCGTTCTTGTGGCTTCTCTAAGTGAGCCTGAAACTACGATGATGAAACGTTGTACATCAACAAGACTACACTACGAACAGCAGACTGTCTTTATTGTGAGAGATTATAAATATATCGTGTCATTTACAGTTAACCACTTATACTGTGAGAGATTATAGCTATTTCATTTCATTTACAGTTCAACCGTCTTTTTTGTGAGAGATTATAAATATATCGTGTCATTTACAGTTTAACCACTTAAATTGTGAGAGATTATAGCTATATCGTGTTATTTACAGTTCAACCGTCTTTATTGTGAGAGATTATAAATATATCGTGTCATTTACAGTTCAACCATCTTTATTGTGAGAGATTATAAATATATAGTGTCATTTACAGTTTAACCACTTAGACTGTGAGAGATTATAGCTGTATCATTTCATTTACAGTTCAACCATCTTTATTGTGAGAGATTATAAATATATCGTGTCATTTACAGTTTAACCACTTATACTGTGAGAGATTATAGCTATATCATTTCATGAACTGTTCAACCATCTATGTTAAAAGAGATTATAGCTATATCTGTCACTTACTGTTCAACTATCTAGGACGTAAATGGTTATAGATATATCGTGTCATTTACTGTTCGACCGTCAATATTGCAAGTGATTAGAGATATATAGTGTTATTTACCGTTCAACCTCTATGTTGTAGGAGATTATAGCTATACTGTGTCATTTACTGTTCAGCTGGCTTTGTTGTGAGCGATTGTAGCAATGTCAGATGTAGAAATAATTACAATCGTTTTTTGGGCGAAGGACAGGATACCAGGACAGGATACCAGGACATGATACCAGAACAGGATACCAGGACATGATACCAGGACAGAATACCAGTGCATGACTCTCCTGCTTTAAGGTGGGCTGGGTCTGTTGGCATTATTGACCTACAACTTTGTGTCGGAAGTATAGCTTTATAGCTTTGCTTCTCAAGAAATGCCGTCTTTACAAAATATGTTATGTTTTGTGATGCTCAATATTACCTGCAGATGTTCTGCAGTTTAGCAAGTATCTGTGAGCACCAGTATCTCTAGCAACCCTGACTGTTCGGTACCAGAGATGGCAGCACCAGTATCTCTAGCAACCCTGACTGTTCGGTACCAGAGATGGCAGCACCAGTATCTCTAGCAACCCTGACTGTTCGGTACCAGAGATTGCAGCACCAGTATCTCTAGCAACCCTGACTGTTTGGTACCAGAGATTGCAGCACCAGTATCTCTAGCAACCCTGACTGTTCGGTACCAGAGATTGCAGCACCAGTATCTCTAGCAACCCTGACTGTTCGGTACCAGAGATTGCAGCACCAGTATCTCTAGCAACACTGACTGTTCGGTATTGGAGATGGCAGCACCAGTATCTCTAGCAACCCTGACTGTTCGGTACCAGAGATGGCAGCACCATTAACTAACAACTCTGACCGACTATGTATCTGGACTTTGAATAATTTTAATCTGCTGTGCTCATTAGATGCCGTTTCGGGACTTTGACTAGGTATCTTCTCCGTATAGGTTTTCTTGTCCCAATTGTGGGAAAAACAAAAACACACTATTGCCTCTTCAACAAACATGTTGTATGAGTCAACTAATTTGGGGCATCTTTCGAAGTAAATATGTATTTGCCCAAGCTGCAACAAATCAAGAGTAAAAGTAAGACAGTTTTGTAAAACTAACATACACGCAACACTCGGACATTTTAAGAACAATAACGTCCGGAGATGGACGAACCACCAGAACTTTGAACTGGAGTTTACAGCCGATGAACGATGAGGAGGAATCGCTATCTGTTGTCCAGAAGAAAAGTTTTCATCTAAGCGGAACTGCTCACTTGCTGCGTATACTTCAGTCTCATTATATGTTGTGTATACTTCAATCTCATTGTATGTTGTGTATGCTTCAGTCTCATTGTATGTTGTATATGCTTTAGTCTCATTGTATGTTGTGTATGTTTCAGTCTCATTGTATGTTGTGTATGCTTCAGTCTCATTGTATGTTGTGTATGCTTCAGTCTCATTGTATGTTGTGTATGGTTCAGTCTCATTGTATGTTGTGTAAACTTCAGTCTCATTGTATGTTGTGTATGCTTCAGTCTCATTGTATGTTGTGTATGCTTCAGTCTCATTGTATGTTGTGTATGCTTCAGTCTCATTGTATGTTGTGTATGCTTCAGTCTCATTGTATGTTGTGTATGCTTCAGTCTCATTGTATGTTGTGTATTCTTCAGTCTCATTGTATGTTGTGTATGCTTCAGTCTCATTGTATGTTGTGTATTCTTCAGCCACATTATACGTTTTGTTTACTTTAGTTTCACTACATGTTGTGTATACTTCAGGCTCATTATATGTTGTGTTTACTTCAGTCTCAGTATTTGCTTGTGAATACTTCAGTATCATTAAATGTTGTGAATTCTTTATTCGCATTATATGTTGTGGATACTGTAGTCTCATTATATGTTGTGGATACTGTAGTCGCATTATATGTTGTGGATACTGTAGTCGCATTATATGTTGTGGATACTGTAGTCGCATTATATGTTGTGGATACTGTAGTCGCATTATATGTTTGTGATTATTTGATGAATGCTGTCTGGGGAAAGGGACTGCATATCTGCTAAGTGTCTGGACGTGAATGATTATTGCGTCAGCCAGATCTATTTGAAAGTTGTCAAGTTGAGTATCCGACGACTAATTGATTTCCCCACTGGAGAGTGCTTAACTAACACCGTGCACATAGTCACATCGTACAGCTGACACCCAACAACTCATTAAAAGTCATCTCTATT